CTGCAAACATCTCCAGTGAGCATGATAACAAATCTGAGTTATTCAGAGCCTGCTTGTTTTTCCAGGAAAGGATTGTGAGATGTTTGCTGCTGCTCTCTGCGCTCTGCCTGGCTGGCTGTGAAGGCAACAAGAGTGAGTCTCCCTGTGCTCTGTCCCTGCTGGGTCATGGATGGGTAGGATGGAAAGGAAAGGTCAAACCTTCACCTGGATCCATGTTCAAGTTCCTCATTCAGGGTGCTGCTGAAGGCAGCTAAGGAGGAACAATGGAATAGGGCTCAGTGAGGCAGGAGCTGGGGTCCAGGAGCCAGCAAAATAGGCAGGAACTGCAGCAGGCTGTACACCTCAGCCAGAAAGGGTGTGTAACCCATGGAAACAAGCAAAGGTGCTTCAATGTGCCACCGTGCTCCTTGGTGACAGTGACAGACTCCATAGCTCAGATTGCAGCCAGGCTGAGGAGGTCTCACAGCCTCCCAGCAAGCTGAGGCAGTAGATTCATCCTCAGATGTGTCTGCTCTGGCTCTAGGCAAAGATCTCAGCCTTTGAGGGCTATGCAGAGCTCCCTGCAGTGGGGTGAGTTCTCAAAACTCTCATCAGGCAGATATTCTTGCTGCATTTCATCTTTCTTGCCTTTGCTTTGCCGCAGGTGAGCTGGCAAGCACCCATGGCCTGAGGCCAGAGGTTGCCCTCCGTGTCAAGAGGAACCCAGATGCCTGTCTGCCAAACCTGTGCCAGCACCAGGGGCAGTGCCAGGTGACTGTGGACAGACCAGTTTGCAGCTGCAAGCCAGGCTTCACAGGGGAATTCTGCCAAGGTAGGGCTGAGAATGCTGGTGAGCCCTCCCCAGCCTGTCCATGGGCACCAGAGGGAAGGGTGATGGGCACAGTGCACTGGTGTTACCATTGCTCTCCACTCCTGGAGCACATCCCACACCTGGTTCAGGTACATTCCACACCACTACAACCATATCCTGACTACATGCTGGTACAAGACAAAGCCACAGGCCATTTTCTTCTCCCCCAAAAGCCTTAATTCCTTGGCTGTGCCATGGTGTAGCAGGGCATACTGCAGGGCACAGTTTCAGAACAAGCACGTGCACCCTGGCACAGACACAGTGAAGCCCCTTCCACACACTGTCCAAAAACGGTGTCTTCTTCCTCTGAAGGAGAGGGTCCCTGTCCCTCTGGTGCCCTAGACAGACTGTGGGGGCTGTGTGGACAGCCCTCCAAAGGGACCAGACTGTCTTTTGCCCAGTGTTTCTGAAGAGCCCTACAGCAGCCTGCACCAAGGCTGGGCCGAGAGGCTGCTGAGCTCAGTGGGACTGTGCCACCCTCCAGCTGGCCTAGGGCTCCCTTATTGCTATTGCAGATGGCTTTTTCCCCCAGATATGGTACTGAAGTTGGCTTGTGAGGAAGAGCACATGAAGATGATGGTGAGGAAGGAGGTGTTTGAGCTCTTGAAAATCCCGCTGGAGCTTGTCCACTTGAAGAACCAGGCATGCAAGGTCTCAGAGAAGGAAGAAGAGGGTGAGCTGTTTTTTGCAGCCACTCTCACAGGTGAAAACCACACTGCCTGTGGATCAGTAATCCAGGTGAGGATCCATAGATCTGAAGCCAGGAGAGGAGCAGACATGGTGGGGTGGGACAGCGAAGGGCAACCCCAAAGACTTCTGCTTTTATATCTGGGTGCTGAAAAGTTCTCATTCCCCTTGAAAGTCTTCTCTGAGGATGTCAGAAAGCTCTTCTGCCTCCACCAAATCCCTGCTGGCAGCACATTTTATCTTATTTAGGAGATCTTGGAAGTCTCACTGTGTGCTGTTAACAGCCCTCAGGTTTCTGGAGACATCCTCTGAACTCTGCAGCCCTGTCCCCTTGGTCTCTGACTTGCTTCATGGAGCACGAAGGGTGCAGATGAAGTGGTGCTCCAGCTCTGCATTGCACAGAAGAGCCCTGTGCTCACTATATGCCTGTGCCAGCAGCCCCCAGACACAAGCTGAAACCCCAGCAGATATCTAGGCATGGAGCAACTATAGCTGAGTTGCACCTTCTGAACTTGCAGCTCTGTGTATGGCTTCAGTCATGGTCTGGAGACTTGATTTCTGTGTCATTCCAGCAAAACAGTTCCCATGTCTCGTACTCCAACATCATCAAGTCAGAGCAGGAGGCCCACAGGGCCACGATCTCCCGGAGTTTTCAGCTGGAGGTGCACTTCTCCTGCATCTACGCCTACGAACAGGTTGTGAGACTGCCCTTCACTCTCACTGCTGTTGACAAGTGAGTGTCCCATTTCACCTTGCTGCTGACATGGTATCTTTGAGCTTGGAGAAAAGTAGATTCAGTGAGACAATTTGCAAAGCCCTGGGGAGCCCTAGAGAGCTCTGAGATGCTGGACACTGGTGGCTTCACCTGTGCTATGTCCTTCCACCTTCTTTTTCTGTTTGTGAGCCCTCATCCTGTCCTCTCCTCTCAGGCTGGTACAGTTTGTGGTCAGAGAAGGACACTTCAACGTCAGCATGAGACTGTACAAGTCCCCCTCCTACCTCGAGCCTTATCCCCTGCCAAGTGTGGCTGTCCCCCTCATGGACACACTCTATGTCCTGCTGAAATTAGAAGGGCAGCACCAGCTCAAGTACTTCCTGCTGAGTGTTTTGGAATGCTGGGCCACGCCGAGCACGGATCCACACCAGGACATGCAGCACAAGCTCATTGAGCAGGGGTGAGCAGAGTGTCCCCAGCACCTCCAGCCTCCTTGCACCACAGTGTGTCAAGGACTGAGACAGAAATAGGCCTGCAGCCAGTCCCTGTGGGATGTGGTGTCCCAGGCTGGGGTGCTCCACCTTGTTTGCCACCCACTGATCCAGCCCTCATGTCCCAGGTGTCCCCATGACGAGACGGTGACCTATCTGAATGCCATTGGAGAGAGCACTACTGCCAAGTTCAGCTTCCAGATGTTTCAGTTTGTTGGTTACCCTGAGGTGTTCCTGCACTGCCGTGTCCAGCTCTGTCTTCCTGACAGCCCAGAGCGCTGTGCCAAGGTGAGCTCCCTTGGTGGTGTGCACCCTGCCCTGGGTGGGTGTGGGACCTCCCTTCACTAGCTCTGCCTGGAGAAGAGGCTCTGCTCTGGTTTTGGGTGCCTCACAAAATAAACACCTCCAGAATCAGGAGCTCAGCCCAGCGCCCTGAACCAAAGGTACGAGGGCCTGAACCCACCAGAGACCTTTCCCTCTTCCCTGGGAAAGGAAGGGAGATCTACAGGATGGCCCCTACAGGACGGCTCCAGTGCAGGGTGCAGGATGCCCTCCCATGACCCTTCCTTTGGCTTTGTTGACAGCAATGCCCCGGGCACTGGAGGAACAGGCGAGCACTGGCAGATGACTACAATAGGATTGTCTCCTATGGGCCCATCCTCCTGCTGGCTGCTCCTTCCTCGGGAGCAGAGACCCACCATTCCAGCACGGACCAGCAGGACCCAGTGGGTACGTATGTCCTCCTGAGCACCGAGGTCAGCCCAGGAGATCCAGGCAGCAGCTCAGGAGCAGGGCTGGGGGCAAGCCCACCTACAGCACAGCTCAGAGCAGGCATGCATGCTGAGCTGTGGGCAGCAGGGGTGGGTGGAGACCATTTGAGGTTCCCAAGTCCTGTTTGTGCCCTCAGGATCCCAAAGTGCCCCCAGCTCCTGCCCATCACAGGAGATGACCTCCCTGAATCTATCCCCAGTCAGGAGATGCCTCACCAGCACTCAGAGCTGGCACAGGGGACACAGATACAAAATCAATCTCTCTCCTCTTTGGCAGGACCCAGCCCATGGCTCTCCAGGGCCCTCGTTCTGCTGTGTGTGCTCGCTGTGCTAACTGTGGCTGCTGCGGCCGTCAGCGTGGGGCGGCGAATGGCTTAGGAAACAGCTGTTTCCCAATAAATGTGACAGCAGCAGAGAGGCATTGCTGTGTCTTTATGGGTGTTTTGGGGAAGGGGATAATGGTTGGATGCAAGCAGTGCTTGAAGGATGAGGTGCAGCACAGTGTTTCTGTTCCCTGTAGCATCTCTTGGACCTTCTCCCCTCCGGGCCCGTGGTCTCTAAACCCAGAGTATGTACCCAGGGATGGGAGAGTCCTTCCTCCTGCTTCCCCTCTTCCCCACAGAGTCATCCTGGTATGTGGGGAGAGGGAAGTACCCCACTCTAGATACCTGCCCTGCCAAAGCTGGTCTTTGCCTGGTTCTTTGCCTCACAAATGCAGTGTTAGCAGAGAAAGGGCTGCTTTGTGCATGCACACGTGTGTGTGCACCCATCCATAGTGATTTCTCTCCTCATTCATGACATTTCTATTTTCATTCATGACAAATTGCCAGCAAGACTTTTCCCATTGATACATCCCTAATATAAAGCAAATAACAAACAATATTGTAGGTATTAAAGACTAAATTCACAGTGCTCAAACAGCTGGCAGGGATTTAATACCAAAACACAGATCAGGAGAGGACAGCAGTTGCCCTGCAAGGCAGCTGTATGCGCATTTTGGCTAGAGAACAATGTCCATGAGGGAATTGCTGCTGACCCCAGAGGCTGTTTTGCAGGAAGAACATGCAGCAGATCTCTGCTAGAGAGCAAGGAGATGTTTTGCAAAGAAGCTCATGGGTTTCCTCTTCTTTTTGCTGATTTCCAGACACAAAACCTCCCACATCTGGGCTGGAGCAAGTCAATCCTCTCCCTCCAGTGGCAGGAAATTCACTACCAGGCTGGTTCAGCACCAAAAGCCAGCTCTAGCAAAGAGGGGGTTGGCTCCATAATGGTGAAGGCAGGTGCTTTGTGGGCTTCCTCCTTGTCCCCTGGGGAATGAGATCAGGGGCACCTCAAGACCATGGAACTGCAGCCTGCAGGGGCTTTGCAGAAGTGTCATCTCTGGAGCTCCTTGCCCAGGGCAGCCCACCAGGAATGAAAGGGACAAAGCAAAGAGCTCTGCTGAGGTGGATCATGCCCACTGAAAGGTAAACTGAGGCATGGTTAACTGATGTCTCCCTCTGTGAGGAAGCTGCATCTGCCAGGATCAAAGATTGCTCTCAGTGGATGCAGGAGCAGGCAGGAAGAGAGGCCCAGCCAGGAGCTAGTCCTGGGAGGCTGTGGTGGTTTTGTCATGTCTGATGATGTTGGAGAGGGAACCAGTGGCCTGCTTTGTCTTTGGGTAGTAGAGGACAACCAACCAGATGAATATGAATATTCCTGCAGGGAAAGGAAGACAAACACTCAGCAGCAGCAGGACACAGTAGGAAACATCTTTCCAGGATGCTAATGACACTTTCCTTCTGCTTCCAGGGGATTCCCTCAGCTCACTCCTGCCCCTCCCCTTCCTTCACATGAACCATTTGGCTGGGACATGCCCTGAGTGGATAATGTCCCTAGTCCTCTGCTAAGGAATGGCTTTATTGGAGGAAAACCAGCACAGGTCAAGTGGGTGTAACTGGGAGCCGTGAGCAGCTCCATGCAGGTGGTTGGGACCTGCTGCTTGATGTGCCCTGACAAAAGGAAGGGCATGACAGTGCTGGGAAGACACTGGTGCCTTGGGATCCCTGGTCAACACACAGCCAGGCTGGTTCCTGCCTCCTCCATCTTCCCCACCCAAGCCCAGGGAACCCAGCTCTGATTGAGTGCTGACCTTGGAGAGAGTTGAGGATGGTGAAGAGGTAGAGCACAGGTGTGGAGGAGATGCCGTAGGTGAGGAATGCCAGGGCCCAAGTGGCTCCCAGCAGGCAGAAGAGCCCTGCTGCCACCAGAGCCACCTTCCAGGGCTTATGGTAACCCTGCACTGCCCCGGTGCCCTGCAAGCTGCAGCTCTTCTGGGTCACCACCCCGAAGACAGCCATGTTGAAGAGGAAGATGAGGCCAAAGTAGCCACAGTTGGTGATGTAGTGGACCAGAAGATGTTTGGAAGTGATCCAGCACCTGAAAAGAGACAATTGTGGTGCCTCCAGCAGCGCTGCAAGCCTGAGCAGCACCCATGGGAGCCATCTCCCGGGAGGATTTTCCAAGGCTGGGGTGAAGCAGGGGGACAGGGGTGCATATCTGCACCAGTCGCTCAGCTGGGAGGGAGCCTGGACAAGTTCCAGGTGGACCTTGGACATCCCTCCATGACCTGCAGGGCTGCAGGCCCGGAGGAGACTCAGCATGAGAGGTGGGGGTGGCTGTTGTGTTGCAATCACAATTAAGGAAGCAGAAGCATGGTGCAAAGCCAAACCAGATGGGTGCAATCCCTGACCACTGCACTCCTGGCAGGACTGAGCTACCCCTCCCTGTGCCAAAGGGCCACCTGAGCCTGTGGACAGTGGCACACGCACAGGTGGGCTATGACCTGCTGGTCTGTGGTCTGGATGCTGTATTCTCCATAGGTGCCAATAACTCCTGCCACTCCCACCACGAGAACAGGGAGGCCTGGAAGAAGTGAGACACAATCACAGAATTGTTTAGGTTGGAAAAGACCTCTAATGTCATCAAGTCCAACCACTAACTCAGCACTGCCACATTCACCACTAAACCAAGTCCCCATGTGCCACATCCACACATCTCTGAACACTTCCAGGGATGGTATCTCCACCACTGCCCAGGGCACCCTGTTCCAGTATCTAACCACCCTTTGAGTGAAGAAATTTTCCCCAATGTCCAATCCAAACCTCCCACTGCCCCTCTCACCCCCGCTCTCATCCAGGCTGGTGGTGCTCACCCCAGCCAAGCAGGCTCAGCTTTGCCAGGTACCGGGGGATGTAGGTGCCGAGGACCTTGACAAAGAGCAGGTAGAGCTGACAGCCCTCCAGCGCCGTCCAGGTGAAGCAGCAGAGCAGGCAGTAGTGGGTGACCCCTCCCAGGACCCTACAGGTCCTTGGGTGGGTCCTGCCTGAGAGCCCAGTGTTGAGCAGGAAGGCCAGGTTGAGGAGGAACAGGCTGCCCACGAGGTTCATGTGCAGCCCCAGGTTGATGCGGACGGTCTCCTCAAACCTGAACCTGTACCTGAGTGTCCCCACAGGGATCAGGAAGGGCAGGGGTCACAGGTGAGCAGGGCTGTGCTGTGCCACAGCAGGTCTGTGCAGAGGCACTGCCATTGCCTCATCTCTGCCAGCCTGACAAGCCCCACGGAGCTGCTGGCACACCCCACCTTATGAAGATGCAGAAGGCCATGGTGAAGATGGAGAAAGCCATGGCTACAGCACAGCCAGCGGTGGCAACAGCCATCAAAGCTTTTGCTGTGGAGCCATCCAGAGCTGGGTTCTGCCACACATGCAGAAGTTGGGTTAGACAGGCCCTGGACCAGCCTAGAAAACCTGACTGCAGCTACCAGAGCCATGGGGCTGATAACCCCAGAGGGCTGCTGCAGTGACCCCATAGCAGCCCCCAGAAGATCTTCAGGAGAAGCAGGGCAGTGGTGGCTCAGAGGAGATGCTCTGAGGTGGGGTGAGGTGTGGGTGAAGTAGACCACCATGAGCACCCTCCTGGGAGTCTCCACCAGGATATGGGATCTCAAGCCTTGCTGTGCCAGAGCCTGCACAAGGCTGGGGCCTTCTCCACCCTGTCCTGCTCTGCTGACCTTCTGCTGCCCTCCTGAGCTGGGGCTGGGCTTGGTTTTGGGACCTTGGCTTGCCTGAGAACAGCTATAATTGTCCCTGTGGGGCTACTCATGACACCCAAGGGGCCACAAAAGCAGGCAGGCAGCACTGCCAGGGCACAAGCAGGAACTGCAGGAAGGGGGATCATCACCAGGAGGAGGGTGAAGAAGGTGAGATGGTCACAGGAGCAGACTGTCCTCTTGTCCCCGGGCTGTGTGACACATCCACTGCTGCCCCAGCCCCCTGCCCGCCCTGCAACAGGCACGGGGGAAAGGCTGTGAGTGCTGGTACAGCCCCTGTGCCCAGCCCCACACCTGCCCCGACCAGGCTGTACCTTTGCTGGCATCCCAGAAGACGCACTGTGGGGTGACACCCTGCGATGGGGGACAGCATCATCAGCCAGTGCCACGGGGAGAGGCACAGGAGGGGAGACAGAGGGCAGGCAGGGCTGACTTACTTGGGGCAGCTCCCCGTGGGCAAAAGTGAGCTGCACAGGGTCCTGCAGCCCCGAGATGCTGCTCTCCCCCACTGTGATGCCCACCACAGTGTTGTCCAAGACCTGCGCTGTCTGGTTGACTTCCTGTGGAGGGGAAACGCTGCGAGAGCTGAGCTGGAGGGTACCGAGTGCTGGTGGCAGCATGAGGGATGCTGGCAGTGCCAGCCTGTACCTTGAACATGCCAAGCTGCTGGATATTGAGAACTGTCACCACCACACGCACTGTTTGGCTACTCAGGGACCGGAATATCTCCCTGGGGAGGTGGATTTTACCTGTCTTCCCTTTCTCTGTGGTGTTCAGCCTGCTGGGGCCCTGCAGCAGAGAAGAAGAGTGAGAGGTTGTTGCTGCCAGGTCACATTTCTGTTCAGAACTCACCAGTCTTGCTCCAGGCATAAATTCAGCCCTGCCCAGGCGGGTTTGCTCAGCAACATCAGCAGGAGCCCCGAGGGCAGAAGGGAAGAACCTCATCCCCAGCACCCAGCATCTATGGGGGCAGAGCTGGGAGTGGGACCTAGCAGATTCTCTACCTTCCATCACCCACACATGGTCCCCTGGGACATCCAGAGGGGAGGAGGAAGAGCACAGCAGGGAACACCAAGCCCTGGGGCAGGAGCTGAAGGATGCTTGGAAGGTGTGGGGCCTTCCAAGCAAGGGAGAGGGAGGGGCACATCTCACCGCTGTGGGGGAGAAGGTGATGAGGACATCACGGGTGACAGCCCTGCTGACATTCAGGAGCAGCGTCTTGAGCCCTGCCAGCCCCGACTGCAGCAGCCTGTGGGACAAGGGGGCAGTGGGACAGATGGACATGGGGACTGAGCCCACAAACCCTGTCATGGCCACCCCTGCCGCTACCTGAACCAGCGCTCCCTCAGGCAGGCACAGGCGCGGCTCTCAGAGCGCCACAGCTCCGGGCAGTGCTGGGACAAGCGGAGGATGCGGATGCTGGTGCCTGGCTTCTGCTGCTCCTCCATCGTCTTGCAGCACTCACGGTGCTCATCACCCCGATCCAGGTCTGAGGAGGGTGGGAGCAGCTGACCACTGGGCACCACAGCACTGGGTGGGCACTGGGAGCAAGGGTAGCAATGGGAGGGGACCACTCACTGGAACAGCTGTCCTTTCCTCTGGCAACATCTGGAAGAGGAGTACATGGAGAAAGGGGGGAAACACAAAAATCTAGGGTCAGCCCTCCCTCTGTCCAGACGGAAAGGGGGAGGGAAGGCAGGAGAGTCTGGCAGGTTTTAAAGGAACAGTCCTGCAGTTATGTGGGTTTCAAAAACACCTGGACAGTGATCGGAGCTGGTGAGGGCAAAGCCACTGTCCAGCCTGCCAGAGGGGCTCACAAAGGAGAGACACCCTGGACTGCTGACCCCAGCTTTTAAAAGAGCCCCCAGCAACAAAGCCCCCAACTCTGCTCACCTCTGCACATCCCAGCAGGGATTCTCCCCTCTGGCCTGTCCACATTCCAGGATGAAATCCCCACATGGTCTTTTGGTGAGCGCCTTCCCATGGCAAAACCTTCCCACAAAGCCCATGCACCCCCTGTGCTAAGGATGCCCGTCCCCCTTCACCTGCCACTCACCAGGCAGCAGCAGGAGCAGCAGGACAGTGCCCACGAACAAGTTCATGCCGCTTTGTGGGGTCTCCATCCCACCACACTCTGCTCCCCTTGTCCCGGCAGCTCTGCTCCTCCCCAGGCTCCCCCAGAGCTTGTGGCCACTTCTGAGGCAAGAGCAGTTCCTCATTTCCCTTCTGGGAACCCCTCACACCTTCCTGTGGGCTGGTAAGTGACCTCCTGTCCCAGCTCACGGCAACAGCAGCAACCGCCAGAGCCGCGGCGTCTCCCCTGTGGCTCCGTCCCATGACCGACTCAGGGCTCTTTGCTTTCCCTTTCTTCCCACAGTCCTGCCAAGGGGTTGATGGCCCTAACCAGCCCAGCTGGAGCATCCACATCTTCAACTGGGCATCACCACAAGCCGCCAGGGTGAAATACCCCCTTCCTGGCAAGGTGCCCCTGCCCCAGTGGGTGCTGGAAGCTGGGTGGAGGGGGATGATCCTCAGCTAGCCAGAAGGGGAATGGTGAGATGGGAAATGTGGTGCTGTGTTTGCAAGAGGCACAGCCAGGACAGCTAGATTCTGCCTGGCCCCACAGCCACTGAGGGGATGATTCCCATCCTTTGATGTCTCCCTCTTTGGATCCCCGTCCTCCACTAGCCTGCCTTTCTGCTGGGTAGTGACAGTCCCCAGAGACTTCCCAAGCCATGGCATCTCCCTCCACACCCCCAGCCCCAATGGCAGCAGGCAGCCAGTGCTCTGCCAGGAGCACCATTATTGGTCCTATAAGCAGGATCCTATAGGGTGAAAGGCTGGGCCCTGCCCCAGAAATGGGATAACCCAGACGAGAGATGGTTCCCATTGGAGAGCCCACCAACACACCGAGCAGAGACCCCAGAGAGCCACACTCCGAGAGGAACAACTTTAATGGGCACAAGTCTGGTGTGTAGGCATGCTCACTGAACTCCTACATCACCCAAAAATAGACATTCAACAAAATAACAAAAATAGATTATTTCAGCTGCCTGAGGGTGTGGCGGGGGCAGAATCATTCTGTCTTCCCTGGGGAAGGACCCTCATGGTAACCACCAACAAGGGCTGAAAACTGGGCCTTTCCCACCCATCATCCCTGGCCTCAGGATGTGGGAAGGGACATCCAAAGGCACTGGGGATCCTGTCCCTGCCCCTTCCACTTTTTACAGCCCCCACTGCCTAAGTAAGCATCCCTCCCTCCCTCCCTCCTGCCCCAAGGGTGCCAAGCCAGTCAGGATGGAGTGGGTGGGAAAATTGGGGAGGGGGCCAGCAGAGGTGGGGGTGGCCAGCCTCTCTGTGGGTCCCTGGGCTCCTCGTGGCGCTACGGGGCAAGTGCAGTAGCAAAGCAGATGGTGTGGTCCTTGTGGCCGTCCTTGGCGTGGCAGCTCTGGCACGGCACAGCCACCACAGGGCTCAGCTGCTGCTGGGCTGCAACTTGGCACTGTCAGAGCTGCTCTGAGAGTCAGGAGCCTTCCTCGCCTGCAGCACCATGGTCCAGTACCAGAGGAAGATGAGGAAACCTGGCAGAGGGGAGAGGAAGCGTGGGTGGAGGCACAAACAGCAGTTGAGAGCGAGACACCCAGCCTGCCAGAGCTCTTCTTGCACACCATCACCACCCCACCAACACCACGTGAAAATACTGGTGCCCTTTAGAGGAGCCCAAAATTACAGGCTCACCTTGGAGGGAGTTGATGATGGTGAAGATGTAGAGGGAGACGAGGCAGAACACACCAGAGGTGAAGGAGAAGAAGATCAGTGCCCAGGGGATGCCCAGCAGGATGCTCAGCCCGAAGAGGGCCAGGACATGCTTGAGCTTGTGACCTTTTTTGTTCTGCCGGAGGATCTCCCGTACCATGGCCCCCAGCATGACCGAGTTAAAGAGGAACACCAGGCTGAAGAAACCCAGGTTCACGATGTTATGGATCAGGGGGTTTGTGATCCAGCATCTGGAGGGAGGAGAAAGGGCAGAGGGTTTCACTGTGTCCTCCCACAAGGTCACAAGGAGGGGCTGGGAGAAGCACAGAAGTGTGGTGCCAGCCCAGCACCCAGGGAGGGGGGATCCCCCTGGCACAAGACCCCAGAAAATCCGCAGGCCACGGTGAAGGTTTAGCCAGCTGACTTTACCTACAACCAGAGAGCAGGTAACCCACCTCCTGTGACTTACATGGTGGCGTTGGTGGATCTGCCATCAACGGATTCATAGATGGGAATGGAGAAGGGGCCGTAGTTCGTCCAGCTAGCCAGGAAGATTATCATCACACAGGAGAAGGGGACTCCTGGGTGGAAAGAGCAGAGTGAAGTGGCTGCCCTACTCCCTGGCCTTGAGACCTTCTGGAAGGACTTGTTGCTCCTTTCTTCCCGCATAGAGCACAAGCTCCCACAGGGAAACAAACTCCCACAAGCTCCCACCTCCCTCCCACAGGGAAACCAAGGATGGAACACACAACAAGGGCACCTGGCATAAGCCCCAGCCTGGGAGGGATCTGTGCTGTGCTGACCCCAGCTGGGGACCTCCCTGGGATGTGGAGCTGTAGGCCATAAAAGACCATAAGATCTTCCAGTCATGACATCCAGCCCAGAGCACAGCAGAGAAGCATGGGCGCTTCCTGCATCCAGGTTCCTGCAACCTCTCTGGGTTGTCCTGAATGTTTCTTTCAGAAAAAAAGGATCCTATTACTATTCAAAGATCCCACGTGGTGGCTGTCACAGGTCTCCATTGCTGGGTGATCCCCCAGGATGACCCACCCTTGCTTTAGCACCAGCCGCTGTTCTCAGCCTTCAAGTCTCCTTCTCCACCAAGGCTCTTGACAGACAGCTGCTCCCCCACAGCTACGCCTCCATCCCCATCCAGGGATCTTATCCAGCAGGAAAATCCTCCCCGAGTGCCCCTCCACCCCATGGTGCCCTCAGGGTGTCTCTGCCTCCCCCATGCTCACCCCAGCCAACCAGGAAGAGCTTGAGGAGGAAGTGGTCATGGTAGGCGTTGAAGACTTCGATCACAAGCCGGTAGAGGTTGTAGCCCTCAATGCCCATCCAGGCGAGGCAGCTCAGGAGTGAAAAGTGCAGAAAAAACCCCCCGACTCTGCAGACAACCTCGCTGCTGCTGGCAGCCAAGTGCTCGGAGATGAGGAAGGTGACATCCAGGAGGAAGATGGCAAACAGCAGGTTCATGTGGATGTGCATGCTCGTGATCTGGTCTCGCTGTTTGCTTCTGGAGAATCAAAGGGAGCAGAACTCACCACCCTGCCTGGCCAGCACCTGCTGCCCACAGCACCCCACAGCCCTGCAGGGGGCAACTTGCCCCAGCAGAAGAGCAAGGACTCTCTTTGGTAGTGCCAGGGACTGAGAGACCAAGCCCAGAGGTGGGACCACCCATCCCACGTGCAAATCCAGCCCCCTGCAGCTGACCCTGCATTGAAGATGCTCAGAGGGCTGAAGCACTTTTCTTATGGAGACAGGCTGAGTGACCTGGGGTTGTACAGCCTGCAGAAGGCCCCAGGGAGACCTTAAAGCACCTTTTGCCCATCCAGGTTTTCATGGCCAGGGGCAGGACACAGACAGGGAGTGTGGGGTGAACCACCAGACTGTACCTGAAGTAGAGGAAGAAAATGGTGCAAATGGATGCCAAAGCTGAGATCAGGCAGCCAGCGTAGGTTATGATACTCAGGTAATTCCTGTGCACAGAGGTGATGTCTGGAGAGGATACCTGAGGAAGAGGAGGAATGAGAGCTGGTGAGGAAGAGCACCACTGGGAATTCTGTGAGGGATCTGAGGGAAGGTGCTACCCACCATGAGCACAGCAAAGTAGGTGAGGTGGTTGCACCTGCACTCTGTCTGGCTGCTCCCTGTCACAGTTGTACACCCATAGCTGTCCCAGCTCCCAGAACTGGCTGTGCAAGAGAAAGGGAAAGAGTCTGGTGAGCAGCAGGAACATGGGCTGAAGGATCTTCAGGGCAAGGTGTCCATGGAAAGAGGGGGAACAAGAGTGGGCGGTCCCACCTTGTCCCAGGCCAAGCACCCATACTCAAACAGCCCCCTCAGCACAAGAACCCATCCCTAGGGAAAGGGAAAGCTCTTAGGTTAGCTATGGAGGGAAAAAACTGGCATCAGCCCTGTGGGAATGGCTTATGGAGAGAGAGGGAGGTGCAGAGCAACCTTCACCCTGCTGGAGGGGCTGTGGTACCTCGGAAAAAGGGCCTTGCCTTGCACCCAAGGGCAGGGGCACTCACCAGAGGTGTCCTCCTGCCAGAAGACGCACAGTGGGGTTACGTTCCTCTGCAATGACAAAAACACAGGCCCTGGTCAGGATGCAGCTGTGGGTTTGTTGCCTGCCCAGCACTTCTGATAGGGGACAACACAGGGCAGGAGACAAGATGGGCTCAGGACACAAACTATGACTTGGATAAACCAGACTTCCCCTATGACGGGAGTGAGCTCCAGGCAGAGGCCACTCTGTTAACAACTGATGGAGCAGATACCTCCTTCCAGATCCTCTTTTCCAAACAAAGGGTTTAGCTTTGATCAGGCACCTGACAGAGCCATGACTGAGCCAAGGGCCTGATAACACAGGGTGTACCCCATCCCTGCTGACTGCTGGATTTGACACATCTGCTGTGAGGCATCTCCTGGAGAGGGGAAGGCAATGCCATCACCAGTGCACACAGTGAAGCCATGATTGTGATACAGCCCCAGAAGACACAGCAGACCCTGCACAGGCAGGCCATGGGCATGGACCTGCTGGATTGTGACTACACCCTAAGCTGGCAGGGCCTGAGCCCTCCATTCCTGGTGGGATCAGGTTCTGTGAGGCTGTTTCCCCACCTACCGGCAGCTGGTCATGGAAGAAAGTGAGGACCACTGGGTCAGAGAGGTTGGCCACCACTGTGTCCACCAGGGAGATGCTGACTACCTTGTCACCCAGGACGTGGCTGCTGTTTTCATCCTGTTGGAGAAGAGAAGGCAGTGTCAGTGTGGGAAGGGAGAGCTGCCATGTTTGGAGCAGAGGAGCGTGCCCAAGAAGGTCCCATGACTTTACCTGTTGAGCTTTTAGCTCATCTTTTAAGCATCTTCTCCCAGAGAGCACCAGCACCCTGGTCTGGTGGCATCCCTGCAGCCCAGTACCAGGGGACACCCCACCATGCTGTTCACGTGGGCATTACCTGGAACATGGTCTGCCTGTTGATGTCCATGAGCAGCACCCTGTGCTCCAACACCTCCTCCCTCTCCTTCACCATCATGAACAGGCTGCTTGGCAGGTCCACGGTGAATCCCTGGACCTCTCCACTCTCCTGCAAAGAAAGACTCATCAGGGAAGAGGTTGAGGGAGAGCATGATGGGACAAGAGCACCAGGGCAGACTGTCCAGAACCCACCTCTCTCTGGGAAACAAAGGTCAGGTGCTGAGGAGCCCGACTGGGCTGGACCCTCAGGACAGTCGCGTGCACAGTGGCCTCCCCAAAGGTCTGGTTCTGCCCTTTAAGCTCCACCTTGGCCAGCATCTCCTCCAGCTCCCCAAGTTTGCTGCAGGGGAAGAGGCACGGTGAGCTGGATGCAGTGGGCATGCGTTGGCAGCAGAGGAATGGGGCGAGCTGGGAACTCACCGCCGGAGCCTCTGCTGCTCCGTGGCTCCCGCGGCGGGCGCCAGGGGCTGGGCAATGAGGTTGTCTAAGTCAGCGAGCTGCTC